GCACTCTGAGACGAGGAAAAGAGAAGCTGGATTGGGACACACAGAAGCCACCCTTGGAAGCATCTGTATCTCCTGGTATCAGCTGAATCCATGGCTTACCTATTGACCTTTGGGATGAGGCTCAGTTGGAGTGGCCTTCGATTTGGGAACTCACAGCATGGAGGTGTGCAGTGAAACACATGCCTCCTGCCTGGCCCCCATGTCTGGTTTCATACTGCCTATGCAAGCCAGGGGAGCAAGACTGTTTCCACACCATGAGCCCCTCTTACCACATTCTCATCGTGGCTCCCTTCATCCTCCTCTTTGCCAAGCAGGTCTAATAGTTTCTCTTTGATCAACTGTGGGAAAAGCACAAAGGGGCTGGTCATGCTGGGAGAATGGTGCAATGGTAGAAGGGCCTCTCTCCACTTGGCTCAACTGAAGAACTTCAGAGCAGTGAGTGACTTGCCTGGGACTGGGCAAACTGCAGCAAAAGCCAGCCTGGCTGCTGGCTCCAGGAGCCCGTCTGGGTCAACCCAACCTTCTGGCTGACATGGGACTTTGTTACAGGTGAGAGAGCCTTGATGAGATAGTGGGAGGGCCCACGGGGTGTAGATAAGCTGTGTGTGTGCTGGCATGAATGGCTTCCTGTTTATCCTTAGGGGCAGCCTGGACCTCCTTTTTGAGACTGGGCCTGGGGGACAAGATTGTTACTCACTTTCTAAGCCTTGCAACTCCACACTTCACAGGATCAGAGCACGTGTGAATTACTATTTTATACTTGGCAGTAAAGACTAGTTCTTAAATATGTTACCTGGTAGATTTAATTTTTGTAATGTTGTGTAGCTTTTCACAAAAATGAATAAACAAAGTGGAATTGGATCTGCTTATGAGGCCTGATTTGGGTTTGGGGTTACCATGCTGAGAGGCATGAGATTCTCTGGAATCTCTAGGGCATCTTGATCCGAGTGGCCCTACAGGCCATATAATGATTCCCAGTGATCTTTGGCCCTGAGAGTCCTCTCTGGGGTTAGCTGAGCCTGGCATAAAGAGGTCCTGGGAGACTTTAGGTCTGCGCATATCTTAGGAATTCTGGAACCATGGCCTTGTTCAGGGAGGCATACTGATGGTCAAGTGCATTGCTCATCTCAGTTCAGAATAGCCCCATGTATAGGCTTGTGTTTCCTAGCACGGGTTAGCCCGCCAACTCAGCACTGTCCTTCAGGTGGCTGGCTGAGCCCTTGGCAGGTCTTTACCCAGCCCGACTCTTGAGAGAAGTCTCAAGAGCTTGGTCAATCCCAGCCTGGGTCTGAGGGAGATGCAGGTAGGAAGGCTGACAAGCACAGGAAATCTTAATGCCAGAAGCTGGTATCTGCTCTTTGAGAAGCTTTCAGAAGCTTTGTTCCAGCTGCCTCTTGAGGGAGCCATCTCCCCAGACTGCTAGCAGCCAGAAGTGGCTGGTATGCCTTACTGTCTCCTTGCTCAGGCTTGATGAAGATTGCCCAGAAGTCCCTCTTCCCCAAGACTAGCTGGGCCGTCAAAGACACTACTCAGGTGATGGACCATCCAGGGAGGGCAGGCACGTGTGCATGGTGTGTATGTTGTGCATGTGTGTGTATGGTTTATGTATGTGTGTGGTATGTGTACGTATAAGTGTGCTGTCATGAGTTGGGTGTATAAAGCCATGCCCTCTGGCCTAGCTATGAAAGGGGCTTGAAGCTGGTCTCAGCAGTCTCACTCCTTCTTTTCAAACCTTTTTCAAACTTACCTTGCAAGTGCAGACAGCCCCCCATTCTTCCAGCTCCCTGAGAATAGGACCAAGGCTTTCATTTCTCTTATGTCTACACCCATCAGGCACGTGTTTTTGGTGCATGGTGTGTATGTTGTGCATGTGTGTGTATGGTTTATGTATGTGTGTGGTATGTGTACGTATAAGTGTGCTGTCATGAGTTGGGTGTATAAAGCCATGCCCTCTGGCCTAGCTATGAAAGGGGCTTGAAGCTGGTCTCAGCAGTCTCACTCCTTCTTTTCAAACCTTTTTCAAACTTACCTTGCAAGTGCAGACAGCCCCCCATTCTTCCAGCTCCCTGAGAATAGGACCAAGGCTTTCATTTCTCTTATGTCTACACCCATTTAAGACTTTCCTCCCTCTCTATGAACCCCATCCCTAGGCCTAGGATTTGGTGATAACAAGTATCAGTGGACAGAGGCAGAAAGCAGACTGTGGGTGGAGTAGAGAGTCCATTGCCTCCCCCATGCCTTGGTTGTGAACATGGGGCAGGATGAGGGCCCCGACTCCTGGTCATTCCCCCCAAGCAATCCCAAATCTTACCTCATATATATAATCAAAGAGCTCTAGTATTGTAAGGATACTAGCACCAATAAACAATCCCATCTGACCACCAATGTCACCTGGAGAGAGAGGGAAAAGACCAAGCACATGGTTTGACTCATACAGCTTTCAAGAAAGGGCAAGTAAGCCAAAAACTTGGAAGTGAGACCTGAGTGGTGCTCCTCTACAGGGTCTGGGCCTTGTAACAGGAAGACCCATTGCTCAGGATACCTTTGACAGGTTACCGCATTGCCCAGCTCTGAGAGTCAATGTCTTGCTGTCTTTTAGCATACAGTGTGGATGAGCACTAACCTGACCACTCGCTGGGGACACTTAGAAGAACCCTCACAATCTACAGGGCTCACAGGCTTATTCAAGTACATGCCACACTGATTGTGTTCTGCTTTGATTCAGTGGTGGGATTAGAGAGACAAGATGTGAGTGGTCCTTGTCCTGGGCCAAGGACAGTCTAGCCTGAGACATGACTCAGGTACACTGGGTGGGGTCTTGGAAGCAGTAGCTTCCCACCTACCCAATCACAGCATGACCTTGAGGGCCACCTTGGGATAAGGTCATGGGCATTCTCAGTCTCCTTTACCCAAAGGCATATGTTCAATCTGGATTCTTACCCTGGGGTATGTGGGCCCCTTGGTCAAAGTGTTTCTGGCTTTTTCTTCAGATTCCCTGCATCTAGTTCTCTTGGAGGAACTTGTAATCAATATAAATGCCTGGACCTGGACCTACCTTAGGCCTGTACATTCAGAATATCTGGGATTGGGATCTGGACATTTGGATTTTTAAATTCCCTGGGGGCTTCTTAGGCTCACCAGTTTGTGAACTACTCTCCTGGGAGGGATCCAGATATTTGGAGAAGCTTCAAAAATTGAAGGCAAAATGTGTGTGCACCTAGGTAGGTGTAGCAAGAGAGTCCAAAGCTATTATCAATCCTCAGAGGGGCTCTGATCCCCCAAAAGCTGCTGATGCTTTTCTGCAGAGGCAGAGTATTATAGAGCAGAGGACTTTGGGGCTTTGTTTTTGTGGGGGGGGTGCCTGTCCACTGGTGTATGTGGCTTTGATAAGTGACTTTGCCTTGAAAAGATGTTGTTGGCAGTGGTCTGGAAGTGGTGGCAAGAGATGAACTGTGGAGCCCTTCCCTCTCAGACCTCCAAAATCAGCCTCTGGGAGGGAAGCGGGAATGGGGAGCTGGGCTGGGGAGGGGAGCACGGATGGGTGCATTGTTGGGGGTGATGTACTGTCCTACAGGAGACTGCACACTGACCTCGTAGTCTGAGAGCTTCAGAGGAGTCAATATGCCCCCTCCTTCACTGCTTATGGCTGGGAGAGGCCCAAGGTCTGCATCCCCAAGTGAACAAGCAGAGCTTGGGAGAGGGCTCTTCATGCTGGGCTCCAAATACTGGCCCTCATGCCTTTCCTCCCCCACCACTCTGTCTAATGTCCTTGATGGAGGCTTGTTGGGGAGTGTATACTTAGGAACATGTATGTCAGGTGCAGGGTATGTATGTGTATACTTGTGTTGTGTGACTGCGTATGTGCAGGAGTATGCCAGGGTGAGGAGTGTGCGTGTGTATTTGTAGAGAGGCAGGCAGTACTTCTGGTCATTGGTTTTATGCAGTTGGCTATCTCGATCTAGGTTAGAGGCTCTGGGTGTGCCTAAGTGTGTGTGAGTTTGTGGAAGTGGTGGAGTGTTTAGAGCGTGTAGGTGTGGCTGTGCTTGTGCTTGTAGATGGCTGTGCTGGGTAGGTACTTGCGCTGAGTGTGAGAATACAGGCCTGCAGCATGTCTCCAAGGTTTGTTGTGGGCAATAAAATGTCTCTAGCTGTGTGGCTGGCAGGTGGGGCTGTGTAGGTGTGCATTTGTGTGCAGCTCCTCACCACCATAGGTGCACGGGCCCTTAAGTTTGTGTGGGGTGTCACAGCAGCACGAGTGCCTGCACAGTGTGCAAGTGTGTTGACGCTGGGAGGTGAGAATGGGCTCTGTGGTGGCGAGAGAAGGGCGGATTGGGTCTGATGGCTGAGGGTTTGCAAGTGGCACATGCTATCATCACAGGGGGTACAGATGGCAGCACGGCTTCCTCAGCAGGCTATTCTGGGTGGGAACAAGATGCTGGGAAATAGCTCATCCTCATATCTGATGCAGATCTGACAGATTCAGAGCTCAGGCCCTCCTTTCTCTCTGCGTGTATGTGAGAGAGCGAGCGAGAGCATGCGAGTCGATGCTGGGGGGAGGAAAGAAGACACGTCCTGAGTCCTCTTTAGAAAACAAAAGTTGGGCGGCACATGGCAGGTAGCAGGCTGTTGAGGGGCTGGCATTTCCGGTGTACGCCCTCTATTGTGGTCCAGGGCACGAGTCTCTTGGCTCTGTGCCTTTGACCACAGTGACTGCCAAGGCCTGAATGACAGCTACAGTAACCCAAGTGGGACTGAACTATTGCCCAATCCCCACCCTCCTGAAGGAGGTGTAGAAACGTTTGGATGGTCCCTGGACAGACTACCTGGGTCGTAGGTCCCTGGCACAGTGACTTTTAGGTGCCAGAAACTATTTATGGCTCTTCGCTGAGCTTGCTGGTTTATCACATTTAACCACCATAACAAACTCATAACGTGCGTGGGGTTTATTAAACCCATTTTGCTGACGACGGTTTGAGACTCAGCGAGGCGAAGCTTTCTGCCTCTATTCTCACGGCTGGTGGACAGCAGCCCATGGAGACTTAAAGTCGGCTCCTCCCACTGTACTTCAGGATAGAAGACACCTGCCCCTCCCAGGATGCTGATCTCGCCTGATCAACAGGGAGACAGCAGCTATTCCTCCCTGTAGGGAACCGGCATCGTATCCTTATGTGAGAATGAGTGGGAGTTGAGAGAAGGGATTGAGGGGCTTTAATTGACTACTCTCAGGGGACTTGTGAGTTTTGGCTGGGTCTGGCAGGACTGAAATGAACTCCTGGTGTCCATTACACGCAGTGGGCCAGGGGGGCTAATATGAATGTGTGGCGACAGTCAGATGTGCAGACCTCTGCAGGGAGCAGTCGTTCTTTCATTTTTGATAAAGGACTCTAAGTCCAGGGGCAACACCTGGCCTTCTCAATGTTTTCCAGGTGGGGCTCCATTGGGACCCTTCACTATGCCTGACATCTGGGGACCACTCGCAGTTCCACTTTCCCTCCTTCCCTCCATCTGATGCTCTTTCCTCCCTTCATGGCCCTGGGATCTGACTCCAACCTGGGAGCAGAAGACCATGGAATGCAATAGGGCAGGTTTGGAAAGGCCCTGAGAGACATTCAAGCTTAACCTCTTCAGGGTATAGATGGGGGAAACTGAGGCCTAGGTTGGAAAATGAAAAATGGGCCTAAAATCTTCACCACGTGAGAATTCTTCCCACTCGGGGGCAGGAACAGTACAAGGAAAGTGGGAGTAATTAGTAAATTAAAAGGCTAGACTCCTAAGGAGGCTTATGAATCTGTCTACCTGCCACGCCGCCCACTCCCCCATCCTTCCTCCCTCCCACCCCTGTGCAGTGTGGAAATTTGTGCAATTGACACTCCAACTTACCAAGTAAGGCAGCAACTTCATACGCCTTCTTCTGTTCAATTGTCTCATAATTGAGAGCTTCAAAAAATATATCCAGAACAAGGATGTTCTCTCTGCAGAGGGAATATTCAGCACCAAGTGTGGTTAGAGCCATCATCATTCAAAGGAATCATCTAACACAGCTTTCCCATGAACAGATGGAGAAACCGAGGCCCAGGGAAGTGAGACAACTTGCCCAGAGTTAGAGCTAGTGAGTGACAGAGTTGGAATTCAAAACCCAGAATTCCGACTCCCAGCCTAGGACCCGGTACTGCTACCAGCTCTCCCCTTTTTCCTCTTATTTCTAGTCTGTCTTTTCTCTTTGTACCCTTCCCAGGAATCCTGGCTGGCTCCCAAAGGGAGTTCCAAAAGGGCCTTCTTAGCATGAAGGTGAGTTCAGTTGTCTGACAAGGTCTGCTTGCCTGCCCCAGCTGACTTCCTGGGCAGCCCCTACCCAGCCCTGAGAGTCCCCAGTTCCTATTTGGATCAACAAGTGTCCCCAGGGTAGCTGGCTCTGCCCTGGCGTTGCTGATTTAGTTGCCAACATCAGGGAAGGATTTTAGGAAGCAAATCTATGTGGCTGGGGTATTTTATAGCAGCAGCACCTCAGCTTCCTTTGCTTCTTTAGGCAGATGTGTTAGTGAAACTCAGCTTGGCAGTAAAAGTCATTACTTCCTGCAGAAGATCTGCTAAGCAGGAGAGCTCGGCATCTCCTGCTGTTCCCATTTCCTTCAGTGTTGTCCACAATGCCCTCACTGCCCCCTTGATCTCACTCTTCTAGGCCAAAGCCGTCCCAGGACGGGGTTTGAGGATTGTGTTGGCAGGAGGGAGTGGCAGGGGAAGAGAGGATCCAATTCTCTCCCCATGCAGGGATTACTGAAGAGCCATTTAAAGCACACCATCTCTTGCTTGTTTTATGACATCTGCTTCCTAACAGGTTGTCTTCTCCCCATCTGGCTTTCCACCCATCCTCTATACTGCCACCTGAAGGATCTTTCTAAAACTGCTAAGTGGATTCAGATGAAATAAAATCAGAATTCAATTTCTCAGTCGCACAGGTACACTTAAAATTTTCAACAGCCAATATGGATAGCAGCGACTATCTTGGATATCATAGATACAAAATAGTTCCATCAATGCAGGACATTCTTTTGGAAAGAGGAGTCTAAAATATAAATTTGAGGCTGTCACTCACCCCCTAAAGAATTTTGGCAGCTCTCTATTTTCTTAGTCAACTCCCATATACCCTGCACCCCTCAACTAACTCAGCCTAGAAAATCCTCTTGCTCTGACATATCCAGCTTCCTCTTTGAAGTCTTTTTGTCTTCCCTGTGTTTATTCTCTCTGCTGATCCTCTGCTGGGACACTCTCTTCTCATATGCCTCTCATTCATTTATTCTGTTAAAAGATATCTTTTGAGCACCAAATCTATGCCAGATGTTTCACTACTACTTGGTAGACAGTAGAGAAAAAAAGGAGGGTTTTTCTGCCTTTAGGAGGTTTTCATCTAGGGGAGTAGAAAGGCAATAAACATGAACATATAGAACAAATATATTCCACACTGTGGTGATTGTTATAAAGGAAAATATCAGAGAACTTAGAAAAATAACAGGAAGAGACCTAGTCTAGCTGTACAAAGGGATGATTATTTATTTATGACATTTTGTTTTGGTTTGTCTTATGTAAGTTTGTCTTTAGTTTGAAAAAAACTGAATCATTTTTTTGGAAGAGATTTTTTTCTATAGGGTGTGTGCGCTCACCAGAGAGACAGAAAGCAAGAAATCATCCCCCCCAGGGGGTATGGCCAAACCACAATCCCTTCTCTTCCAGTTTCCTCTCGGGATTTTGGACATGCATGAACATGCACCTGGTGTGAGTTTTAAGCCACTGGGTCTGTGACTCAAACCACGGTCAACTACGTGGAAATCCAGTGACATAAACATTATGCCATCTGTGAGTCCCAAATTTTAATAATCTTTTTTTTTTTTTTTTTGAGAGATTTTCACTGTAGGGCGCGTGCGCTCGCCAGACAGACAGAGAGAGACATAGAGACAGAAAGCGAGAAATCACCCCCCAGGGGGGATGGTCACGCGACAATTCCTTCGCCTCCATTCTCTTCG